TGTGTAGTGTGTGTGTGTGTGTGTGTGTGTGTGTGTGTGTGTGTGTGTGTGTGTGTGTGTGTGTGTGTGCGGGTGTGTGCGGGTGTGTGTGTGTCCGCGTGCATTGTGCGCCTGTGTACGTTCGCGTGTGTGTTGTTCCTCACATGTTCTTTCGCCGTGTTTCAGATGTTGTTCACGCAGTTCCAGTATAGTTCACAGAGCGCTCTCCCTCCCGATGCACTGCGGAAGGCTCTAGCCGAGACGTTCCACGACCAGCAGCGCTTCCAGCTCGGCCTCATGGACGACGCCGCCGAATGCTTCGTACGTAATTTACTGGCGCCCGTCTATAGTGTGTTATGCCGAGCATGGCCATGCATGACCCCGTGCAGCCATCTATCGGTTAATTCCGACGAAATGTAAACTAAATTATATCAGTATTGATATTCGTGCTCTGCTATGATATCAGGAGTGTATATAACAACAGATCTATTATTATAATCTATATTATATCTTATCTATTAATATAGCTATTATTATATTTTATATATATATATATTATGTTTATATATAAATATATTATCTTATTATATATATAATCTATTAATATAATCTATTACTATACACTCATGATGATATATAATTATAATATATACTCTGATACGTGGCTCCGTTGCTGAGCAGGGGAACAGGGAATTTGTGTTTATCACTGATATGAATGATTACGTTCCTATATCCTCCACATCTCTCTGCATTTTACATGTTTGTATGAATAATGATTACTGATAATACTTGCTGTATCTCTATATCTCCTCCCCCCTCTCGTGTCTCTCCTCTCTGCTCTCGATCTCGTCTCGATGCTCATCGATCTCCTCGCTCGTCTCTCTCTGCTCTCCTCATCTCTCTCTCTCGTCTCTGCTCTCGCTCTCACTGCTCCACTCGTCACTCTCCTCGCACTCTCTCTTGCTCTCTCTCTCGTTTCATCTTCTGCGCATAGCTGCTGATATGATAATCAATCCCTGCTCTGCTCTACTCTCTCTCTCTCTCTCTCTATTCTAGGAGAACCTTCTCTACCGCATACACTTCCACATCGCGCACGGCGAGCAGGAAGAGGCCTGCGTCGCCCGCCACTGCGTGCCGCACCGCAAGTTCGCCATGCGCGTCTCGGAGCAGTGCGTGTGCGCGGCGTGCGGCGCGCGCTCCGAGCCGCTGCCGTTCACGCAGATGGTGCACTACGTATCCGCCGCCGCTCTTGCGTGAGTCATCGCTCGTGCTGCCGCCTGGTGGCGACGTCCGAGAGCGTCGTCCGTGCGCGGAGGGTCGTTTCGCGCCGCGTCGATTTAGTGACGGAAATGGAAATAATAATGTTAATAGTAGTTCTACTACTCATAATAATAGTAGTAATAACAATAATAGTGATAACAATAATGATGATAATTGTATTAATAATAATAATACTGTAAATAAGATGATTATTATTATTATTTCCAAAGTGGATCACGGCATAAGCCGGTGGCTTCTGGGTTGACTGTGTCCCAACCTGGGACATAGGGATTCAATCCAAAATTTTTCGCTTATTATTATTATTATTATTATTATTATCATCATAATCATGACATCATTATATATTATTGTATAAATTGTGCAATCATTAATACTGTATATAATCATTATTGTATCACGATAACTCGTGAATCTGACATCACTGTTGTCATAGCACCACGCTCATCCATGATTGGTCGTTGCAGGTCGCAGAGTCGTATGATGGAGGCGGAGGGCGACATTGACACGCCGGAGAGATTCGGGCGTCTGCTGCGCAGGGCCGGTGCCATCGGCGATATGCGTAATTGTCCGGTGAGTGACATGGCATGCCACCTGGTGGCAGCGACGTTTATCGTTTATCACTTTTATTTGAAAAATTTTGTTGTTGTTATTTTCAAGCGATGTTCATATGGTTGTTACGATTTTTTGATATTTTTTGTTTTTATATATTATTTATACTTGTAGTGTAATTATTTGTACTTCTACTTTATACGCATGTATCCTATTTTTGTTGACGTTTCTTCTTGATGGACAAGATGGCCGTGTGATTACTGTTAGTTTGCTTCTCTTGGTTCGATGTCCATTAGTTTTTTGGTTTTTCTCGTTTCCAGAATAACTGTGGCNTGATTGTATCACAATAACTCGCCTCTTTTTTGGCCGTTGAATCTGACATCACCGTTGTCATAGCACCACGCTCATCCGTGATTGGTCGTTGCAGGTCGCAGAGTCGTATGATGGAGGCGGAGGGCGACATTGACACGCCGGAGAGATTCGGGCGTCTACTGCGCAGAGCCGGTGCCATCGGCGATATGCGTAATTGTCCGGTGAGTGACATGGCATGCCACCTGGTGGCAGCGACGTTTATTAATTGTTTATCACTTTTATTTGAAAAATTTTGTTGTTGTTATTTTCAAGCGATGTTCATACGGTTGTTACGATTTTTTGATATTTTTTGTTTTTATATATTATTTGTACTTTTACTTTATACTCTATACTACATGTATCCTATTTTTGTTGACGTTTCTTCTTGATGGACAAGATGGCCGTGTGATTACTGTTAGTTTGCTTCTCTTGGTTCGATGTCTATTAGTTTTTTGTTTTTTCGTTTTCAGAATAACTGTGGAGAGCGAAACCGGATCCATCGCAATCTGATGAACTGTCCTG